AGTTACTCTAGCTTATTATTAGCTAAGTGATACTCGATAATCCTGAAGTAACGCTAGATTCTTATTAGCTAAGTGAGGCTCAATAATCATGAAGTTAACTTATTAGAAGCTAAGTGAGACTCGATAATCCAGAAGTTACTCTAACTTATTAGAAGCTAAGTGAGACTCGATAATCCAGAAGTTACTCTAACTTATTAGTAGATAAGTGAGACTCGATAATTCTGATGTTACTCTAATTTCTTACTAACCAATTGAGACTCGATAATCCTCCAGTTACTCTGATTTCTTAGTGGCTAGGTTAAACTGGATAAATCTGAAGTTACTGTAACATCTTAGTAGCTAAGTTAAACTTGGTAATCCTGCACTTACTCTAACTGCTTAGTAGCTAATTGAGAGTCAATAATCGCGAAATTATCCTAACTTATTAGTAGCTAAGTGAGACTGGATAATCCTTTAGTTACTGTAACTTCTTAGTAATTAAGTGAGACTCGATAATCCTGAAGAAACTCTAACTTCTTTGTAGATAATTAAGAGTCAATAATCGTGAAATTACCCTAACTTATTAGTAGCTAAGTGAGGCTGCATAATCCTTTACTTACTGTAACTTCTTAGTAGTTAAGTGAGACTAGATAATCCTCAAGTTATTCTAATTTCTTATTAGATCAGAGAGACTGGATAATCTTGAAGTTAGTCTAACTTCTTAGTATGTAAGTGAGACTCGATAATCCTGAAACTACTCTAATTTCTTAGTAACTAATTGAGACTAGATAATCCTCCAGTTACTCTAACTTCTTAGTGGCTAGGTTAGAATGGATAAACCTAAAGTTACCCTAACATCTTAGAAGCTAAGTTAAACTTAGTAATCTGCACTTTCTCTAACTATAATTGTAGCTAAGTGAGACTTGGTAATACTGCAGTTACTCTAACTTTTTAGTGGCTAAGTGAGACTTGATAATCCTGATGTAACTCTTGCTTTTTTAGTAGCTAAGTGAAACTTGATAATCGTGAATTAACTTATTAGAAGCTAAGTGAGACTTGATAATCCTGAAGTTACTCTAACTTCTTAGTACCTAAGTGTTTATTTTGTTTTCTTTGTTTTTTTTGTAGTTAAGTACAAAGCTACACAAAGGTCTCTCTGTGCTCTGCTCACCATGTGTATCAAAACCCGGTTTCTAGCTTTGTAAGTTTGCAGAAATACCCCTGTGGCCCTTGGGGGGGGGGGCGGTACCTAAATGAGACTCG